ATGGTAAAAAAGCCATGAATTCTATGTGCAGTATTCCCCTAGCGCTGGAGTTCTGCCGTTCTCATTGATCGGTAAACTTGGTCTTGGCTGGCTGTTCTCGCTGATCTTCTGGGGAGGGGCCTGTTGCCGTGGTTTCCAAATGTCTCTGCCGGAGGCGGAAGTGCCCCGCCCTTGCCCCCTCCCGGGTAAGTCATCTGCTCGGGTTTGCTCTCCGGGGCTTTTGTTCCCTGCGAGCTTTCCGTACAGCTTTGGAGGCGGAGAGTGAAAATGGCGGCCTCCCAATCTCTGCCCCGGAGGAGTCGAGAACTCAGGGTCCCGCCCCTCAGTGCAGCCCCCAGAGAAAAGCCACCAGTCACTCCCGTCTCCCCGATCTCCAGCCGCACCCTGTGCTCGCCCGGCCTGTGACCGCGCGTTTCTATCTCCGGCACCCGACCCCGGGTGGAGTCTCCAAACCCAGCAGACCCCTGCGCTGCACTCCTGCTCGGCTCCTCCCTGGGGAGGAAGGGGAGTCTCCCCGGATCTGCCGCTTGTTGGGTCCCTGCTGGAGGAGCAGGGGCCCGACTGGGCCGCGGATCACGGTCAATGGCAACCCCGAGCTGAGAGCCCGAGCTAAGAGCCCGCGCCTGGGCTCCGCCTCTGCAGCCAGCCTCCCGGCTCCGATACCTGGGAGCTCTGCCACACTCAGGCACCCCCGGTCTTTCTGTGACCCTGAGGGTCCTGAGACCACACTGTCCCGGAGGGTTCCACCCCCCGCTTAGCCACCAGAGCGACATCCCTCAGCAGAGCAGACTTTTAAAAGTTCCGATTTTGTGCCCCGCGGCTCCATCACTTGCCAGAAGCGGCCGACGGAGGCCCCTCCCCCGCCGTCTATCCTCCCGAATATCGCCTCGGATTCACTTCTCTGCAGGTCCTACCTTCCCAGAAGTGGTCGCTTTTCTGTTCAGAGAGTTGTTGCTATTCTTTTCTTTGATCTCCTGTTGAGTTTGTAGGTGTTCAGAATGGTTTGATCCCTATCCAGCTGAATTCCTGAGAGGAGACGAAATCCAGGTCTCCTACTCCTCCGCCATCTTGCTCTGCCCCCCCCATCCTCATTTTGATTTTAACCAAATCTCGTTACTCATTTAACTAGGAATGTGTTCCCGTATCCCATAAGGTCACTTTATCATCAACATATCCTGCTTCCTATGGAAGAAACATTGTATTCTAGCTCAGGGTCTGGCAAATTACAGCCGACGCCCCAAATCAGCCCTCCGCCTATTTTTTGTACAGCCTGTGAGCTAAAAATAGTTTTTACATTTGTAAATAGTTTAAGAAATCAAAAGAGTAATGGTGTGTGACACGTGGGCAGTATATGTACTCAAAATTCATAGTTATTGGAACACAGCCACGCCCCCTCATTTGCATATTATCCACACTGCTTTGAAAGCTACAAGGGCGGAGCTGAACAGTTGCACCAGAGACCCTGTGGCCTGCAATGGTTACTTGAAGCTCTTTACAGAGACTGTGTTTTGGCCCCTTTTGAACAGTTAAGCTGGAAAAGCAAAGGAATGGGGTTGAGGGAATCCCAAAGACTACCTTGGAAGAGTGACATTTTTCGGGGTTCAGTCAATGCTTTGACAAGAGGCAGTTTGGGTGTGAGTTTTATATTTTATGATAGACATAAGTAGCTGAGCTGGAAGCAAAGATGTTTGACATAGAGGAGACTTATTACTATTATTATTTAATTGAAAGTGTGTCTTGATGATTGATTTATTCTCCCCACCTCCCAAGAGCAATTTGACCAGGTTGATTAAATTTCATTTATGTCAAGTGTAGAAAATGTGTTGTAAGAGTTGTTCATGTCAGAGACAAATAAACCGTTTTAATCCTTTTTCTTGCTTAAGCAGGAAGTCACAACTTGCCAATGAGAATTTAAAACAAATCCCACAAAGTTTTATGTTTGGTTCAAAACTCGAAATATTTAGGTCTTGGGATATTATAATCTTGGCAGCCCGCATTTGTCATCCCTGGTGAGAACACGTGTGTACTGTTGCTTGCTTTTCAGTTCACTGAGAGAGGGTCGCACCTTGCCCTCTTAATCCCAGAGTCAAACATGATTACAAATATTTTCCTCTTGGGAATCTAACTCATAAGGAAGATCACTGTGCTTTTTTGTTAAATAAAACATCTCTCTTTAGTTGCCTTATTCGTTCTCAGGCTTACTGTGTTTCACAGGCCTGAAGATTGTGTTTGACATCAGCAATTGTTAGAGACCATTTGTTTTTACAATGGAAAAAGAAATAAAAGTGCAGATGTCAGACCTCAAAATCCATACTTCTCTGAGTTGTTTTCATTTTAGAGAATGAGAATGTGTGGGGGTTTTTTTTTCAGGTGGGGCTGAATACAATCAGAGACACATGTCACTTTTGCTAAGTAAAAATATTTTACATCTCTCCCTTTCTTTTTAATTAATTGCAAAGTTAGGGAAAAGTTTAGAACCTAAGAAAAATAAGTGAATTATGGGCAAGTGAAAATTCCAGGACACATTCTAGTTTAAGTTAAAAGAAGAATGGCTTATGTCAAACCCTGAAAAAACTAAAAATAGAAATTGTGTCATCAGAAAAGTAGCGTTGTTAACAACTGGCGGTCTGAACAGTTAAGTCTGTTTCCAGGTGTGATAAGTAAACACAAGTTAGTTACCCAGATCTCACTACTGTGGATAGCAGGGTTTGATGGTAACAGCAACCAACTCGACAAATGCCGGCATTTCCAGTGGCCTAATTTGTTTATGACTGTGATGGGCAAGCAAAACCCTCCGGACAGAAGGGCTAAGTAAGTGACATGAACTTGAACCAGGAGAGCCACTCACCAAAGTGGGGAGTTGATATAACATTCACAATGCCTGAGGGAGTATGAGAAAGACTGGGTAATTGCTTTCAAACTTGGATTTCTGTATTGTCTACTTTAATCTCAAAATAAGGTGTAATGCAATGCCCTCTGCATCCCTGCAAAAACAAGGTGGCCCCAGCCTCCCAGAGCAGGCAGGGGAAGGCCACTGGGGGCAAATGCCACTTCCCACCTGCTCTCCACTGTAAAGAAGCCTGCAGCCCACACCAGGAGCCAATTAAAAGGAATGGCCGTTGGTTCAGCGTCCCAGGAAGGCATCAGGTGGAGTCTAGTCCTTGGCAGTGATCCCAATTAAAGGGAGTGGTATAGTTTTTTTCTATCAGGGGGCCAATTAAGAAGATGGAACCACATGGCCACACCCTCTAATACAAGGCACTCTGAACTTGGGGAAACACTGGGACCTGGAGGAGCTCTGCCAGTCTCCCTGGGCTAGAGCTTCTCATGGCCATGCCCAGATGGGGAAAGAGAATGGTTTTTTGTGCATCCTATTAGACAGCGCTTTTTTTTTAAGATTTTATTTACTTATTTGAGAGAGAGCGAGAGCAGGAGGAGGGGTAGAGAGAGAGGAAGAGAGAGAATCTCAAGCAGACTCCCCCGCTGAGTGGGGAGTCCCACATAGGGCTCGATCCCAGGACCCTGAGATCATGACCTGAGCCGAATTCTAGAGTTGGATGCTCAGGGGTGCCTGGGTGGCTCAGTCTGCCTTTGGCTCAGGTCATGATCCTGAGGTCCTGGGATCAAGCCCCCATTGGGGTCCCAGCTCAGCGGGGAGTCTGCTTCTCCCTCTCCCTCTACCCCTCCCCCTGCTTGTGCACGCTTTCTCTCTCTCTCTCTCTCTCTCAAATAAATTAATAAATTAAAAAAGGAAAGAGTCAAAAGCTTAACCAACTGAGCCATCCAGGCTCCCCACCTTCTATTAGCTTTCTAAAAAAAAGTATTTTTAGCTAAAAAACTATATATATATACACACGTGTATATATATACATATTTATATATGTATATATATAAAACTTATGTATAAAAGTTATATATAAAAGTTTAAATATAAAAACTATAAAACTTTTATATATGAAACTACATAAAAACTATATAAAACTATATATATATATATATAATATATTCTGAAAGGTCAAGATGTTGCATAACATGACTTCTTCGATAGAGAAACTAGCCCCAAATGGTAGCTTTAGTTACTCTGCCACAATTAAGAAGGCGGAGGAATGTCTACAGAGCCAGGTGGAAGGCCCCCATGGGGCAGTGACTAACGTTTAGTGGTGCGTGGTCCAGCGCGGCATTAAGCACTCATGGCAGGCAGGATGTGGTGTGGGGAGGGCACAGTCTGAGAAGCCAAAAAAAAAAAGAAAAAAGTAGATTTTGCTGGCCAGGTGAGCCCGCCCCCCACCCCCCACCCCCAGGGCTGTAGGAGCTGAGGACAATGCACCCTAGGCTCAAGAGGGCTCCATTCAGGAAGGAGGGTGCTGTGATCCCATCCGTTTCACAGAAAGGGGAGACAGGGCACAGAGAGGTGAACTTGTCTGAGCACCTACAGCTTATAGATGACACGTGCTTTCAACCAGCATTGTTACCATAAGCTTCATCTGTGGTTTTGGTTTTCTTTTTCCTTTTTTACATATTATGCACAATCAGTTTCAAGAGCAACCAAATTTCACGAAGTCATCATAGCCAAACACAATGAGGGGCTCCGGGGGGAGGGAAGGAGGAAGATTACTAAAGAGAGGAAACAAAATCTAAACAAACAGATTGTAGGGGCACCCACCAACCTGATTTGCCTGGGACTCTATGGGTTACAGCACATTTTTGTACCTCCCCCCGCCCCCCCCGTCCCAATCCCAGAAACCCCTCAGTCCCAGGCAAACCGGGACAGTTGATCACCAAACTCACGGCTCACCTTTGATCCATACCCAGCAACAACCTAACCCCGACCCCAAGGGTCCAGAAAGTCCCGGATGGTGCTCCAACCCTCTGTTTGTCTGTTGCCCAAAGCCTCTGAGCCCCGGACTGGCTATTTCTGCTTTCAAGGGGCATCATCTTACCGCCCTACCCACACCCAGGAGTCTTCAGCCTTTGCGGGGCTGGGAGGCACAAGGCTGGGCGCCCCCGGAGAGGAGCCTGAGGCTGGCAGCCGCCGGGGGGATGGGGGCGGCGCCCAGTGGTCGGAGTGCCCCGTGCCCTGGGCGGAGCCACGGCCATCTGACACCCAGAGGCGCAGATACACGCTCCCCGCTTGGGTTTCATGGATTCCCAGCCCAGCTGCGTGGTAGTGACTGGTAAGACTTTTTCTGCTTTCCCATTTGCGCTTTTAGCCTGACCGCGGAATGTGCACTTGCCTGATCTGCTCATAAAGGGTTCCCTCTCGGGGGAAAAAGGAGGGGCAACTGGTGGTGCCAATAATTCCAGATGGAAGCTTGCCTATCACTTCTTGCTATGCCCTACTGAAAAACAGCGGACAGAGAGGCTTTTCCACTCTGCTCCTCTCCTTCAATTCAAAGGTGCCTGCATGTGGCTCAGGCTTAGACCTTGTCCGTCCGCCCAGCTGGGGAGGAATCCGAGGCTGGCACCTGCTGTCCCTGAGTCATGGGACCAGCTGTACCCCAGTGGGTCCATGTGGCATCCCCTGGGGTACAGCTCCATAGCAAGGCAGTGGGAGCTGGGGATCCAGAAAGGATGGGGCCTTGTAAGGCTTGGACAGTGGTCCATCTACAAGAACCACCCCCAAAGGAGAACACGGCCCCCAACACACAGGCTGAAGAGCTTTTAGCCACTCAGAAAGCCCTGAACACCACCGGAGAGCCTCCAATTGGAGACTCTGAACCCCAAAAGATCAACTTAGAGTGAATGGTAGCCACCCACTCCTACCTTTCTCCAGCTCATCCCAAACCTGCCACCCCCAGTCATTGTCACAGCTGGTCCCAGAAGGGTTTGATTTCTTTACAAAGTTCCTTCTTTCTAGTTAGACACTTCTGGCATATTTTAAGTTTTTTGAATTGTGTGAAATGAAGGAAACAGGAGACAAGGAGTCCTATGGACATGGAAAATCGAAATGTAACTATCTCAATATTTTCAGGCTGTAATCAAACTCCTGTTAACCTTCTGAGGAAAAGAAAATTCTTTTGAAAACCTTTTATTATCTCCCTTGTTCTCATTTGTGTTATTTGGGGTATAGAGATTGAGTGGTTCAAAATATTCTTGAATTGCTAAGGAGACTGTACCCCTGATGAATGCAATGCTTGTCACAAATGAAATATGAATATTGAAACCCAGTTGGCATGTCTTCGACTCACGTGGACCCCTGCCGCTTGGCCTGTCAGCTTGTGGTTTGCTGGCAAACTCTAGATTGTTTGATGAAGTACCTGATCATCAGGCACCATTTGGGAATGCCCACTGGCTTCTAGAGTGTGGCATTCCTTTATTAAAAATGCTTTGAACTGCCAGGGGTAGTCTCTTCATGTAATTGGATTTGCGTGGAAATCTGGCCAAGACAGTTGGCACAGAGACTGATGGGGGTGGGGGAGGACAGGGCTCTGACAAACGGCCTCAGGTTCAGGGCATTCCGACTGGCACCAACAAGAATAGTGGGAGGCTGAGAAAACCTGCATCCCTCCAAAGGGCCTCCCTTGATTGTGAGAAGGTTCCTCTAGCCTTATGCAGATTTCACCCTGAGGGCCTGCCAAGTTTAAAGTGTGAGATGTGACCCTACAAAACAAGAGCTTCAAACCTGTACTTGCTGAGTTGTTTTTCCTAATTAAAAACAGATAAGAGATGATCTGACTGTTTTGATCTGAATATGATTCTAAAGCAGAATGTGATTTTTGTGTGTGTGTGGCGCTGTGATTTTAGTCTGAGGTACCTGGTTTCTCAGTGATTTTTTCTGAATCTCAATATTTTCTAAAGTTGTTTTGTTTTGTTTTGTTTTTCTGGCTGCCCCCAGTGGCAGCTACAGTCTTATTCTATAGGAGTCAGTGTCAAGAGGACACCATCGGCTTCCTGGTGTCAGGACATCCTGTCCAAAATTTTGTATGGCCTGAGAAAGATTGACCCCTTGTGAGCCACGCTTGTTAGCGGTTCTAGACTCAGAGGCTCAGAACTTCAAAGGCACCATCCTTTCTAGGATTGGCTCCTCCTCTAAAAGCCTGAGCTCCTGGCAGCCACTGGCCTCCCCTACGGGGGCCGGGGTGGGGGGTGGCCCGGGAGCTCTGAGCAAGGGCCACTCTGAAGGAGAGGTAAAATAAGAGGTCCCATGGGTGTGGTCACTCCTACACCATCTTTTGATGGTTAATTTTAGGTGTCACCTTGACTGGGCCACAGGGTGTCTAGATATCTGAGTTGAAAACAAGCCACTTCCCCCACCTCTAACTCCTGACCACCATTAAGCTGTTCTGCACCTCTATAATGATGTTATTTTACAAATATTGTATAAACGGCATCATGCGGTATGTATCGTTTTGAGACTGGCTTGTTTTCACTCAGCATATTTCCTTTGAGGTTCATCCAAGCTGTTGTATGTATCAGTGGTTCCTTTTTTTTTTTTTTAAACAGCTTTATTGAAATAAAATTCACAATTCACTTAAGACGGACAGTTTTCATGTGTGGCTCAGTCAGTGGAGTGTGTGACTCTTTATCTCGGGGTTGTGAGCTTGAGCTGCATGTTGGGTATAGAAATTACTTAAAAATAAAATCTTAAAAAAAAACCCTAAAATAAATAAAATGGACAGTTCGATGGCTTTTATTAGTATATTCATAGAGTTATGCATTCATCACACAACCAATTTGAGAACATTTGAATTACCTCGAAAAGAAATCCCGAGCCCCTTAGTTATAACTCCCTAATCCACCCTGATGTCGGAAAGATGTTAGGGTTCAGAGCCGGCGGCCAAGAAAGAATTCTTGAGACATCTTTGGTGCAAAAAGGTGGTTTTATTAAAGCATGGGGACAGGACCCCTGGGCAGAAGGAGCTGCAATGGGGTCATGAGGAGTGGCCCATCATATACTTTCAAGTTGGGAGAGGGTTAGGGATGGCATAATTGTCTAAGGAATTTTGGAAGCAAGGTTTCCAGGACCTTGAGGGGGCTAGCTATCGTTGGGAAAAGGCCATTTATTACCATCTAATAAAACCTTAGTTATGAGACCCTTCAGATGTATATCAGTGGGCCATATGCTTGGGGGATGACTGCCAACATGTATCTTGGGGAGTAGAGATAAATGAAGTTTCCAAAGGAATTTTTATATGTTAAAGACTTACAGGATCCTAGGGGTCAGGCTAAGATTGCCTTTCGCCCTTAGCAAAGTATTAACATTGAGGCAGCTGAGCTCCTAGAGGAATGTCACTCTGCCTGTTTCAAGGACTTGTCAGTGGGCTGTAGGTAGTAAGGAAATTTAATTTTTCTTTTGTCTTTTTTTCCCACATCACACCCCCAGCACGCCCCCCACTCCAAATCTACTAACCACTAACCTATTTTCTGTCTCTCTAGATTGCCAATTTTTGATATGTCGTATAAATGGGGCCATACACTATGTGGTCCTTTGTGGCTGGCTTCTTTCACTTAGCATAATATTTTCTTTTTTTTTTTTTTTTAAAGATTTTATTTATTTATTTGAGACAGAGAGAGAGACAGAGAGCATGAGAGGGAGGAGGGTCAGAGGGAGAAGCAGACTCCCCGCCGAGCAGGGAGCCCGATGCGGGACTCGATCCCGGGACTCCAGGATCATGACCTGAGCCGAAGGCAGTCGCTTAACCAACTGAGCCACCCAGGCGCCCCTAGCATAATATTTTCAAAGCTCAGCCATGTTGTACCATGTATTAGTACTTCACTTCCTTTTATCGACAAATAATATCCCCCATTGTATGGATCGCACATTTTGTTTACCCATTCATCAGTTGATGCACACATTTGTGTGGTTTCTACTTTTTTCTTTTCACTGCTGAGTAGTAGTATTGCATGATCTGGAATTCTTGCTTCATTGTTCACCTCTTGAAGGACATTTGAGTAGTTTCCAGCTTTGGGTTATTACAAGTAAAGCTGCTGTGAACATGTGTGTACAAGTTTCTGCATGAAAACTAGTCTTTATTTCTCTGGGATAAATAGCCAGGAGTGTGTGTGGTGGGAAGTCCACTTTCAGTTTTAAAAGGATCTGGCAAACTGTTTCCCAGAGTGGCAGTACCGTTTTACATTCCCACTAAGCAATGGGTATGAGCCAGTTTCTCCTCATCCTTGTCAGCTTTGGGGGTTATCGGTATTTCTATTTTAGCCGCTCTTCTAGAAGTGTGATAATATCTCATCATGGTTTTAATTCATGTTTCCCTGCTGGTAAGAGATGTCAGACATCCCCTGCTATGCTTGTTTGCTGTCTGTACATAGATCTTCTTCAGTGAAATGTCCCTTTGTGTATTTTGCCAGCTTTCTAATTGGGTTGTTTTTTTAATGTTGAGTTTTGAGAGTTCTTTATATGTTCTACATACGAGGCCTTCATCAGATGTGTGGTCTGTAACTGTTTTTTTCTTTTTTCCTCCTGTCTGTAATTTTCTTTTCATTCTCTCAAAAGGCGTTTTTGTGCAGCAAAAGTTGCACTTGGGTGGGGTCCAGTTTATTAACGTTTACTTTCATAGATCATGGTGTGCTCTTGGTGTCAAGCACTTGCCTAAGGGTAGGTCTCAAGATTTTCTCCCTTTTTCCCCCGTAAAAGTTTTATGGTTTTCCTTTTTTCATTGAAGGCCATGATCCACTTTGAGTTAATTTTTGTCCAAGGTGCGAGACTGAGGTTGAGGATTCATGTTTTTGCCTCTGGGTATCCTGTTGTTCCAGCCCCATTTGTTGAAAAGGCCACCCTCCTCCACTGAATTGACTTTGCACCTCTCCTAGCAAACTACTGGGCATATTCACACGGGTGTGTTTCTAGGCTCTTAACAAAGCGTGCATTTTAACCAGACACTTGTGCACTTTCTCAAGCCTTCCTAGCTTGGGGGTGGGTCAGCAGCTTGTTCCTTTTTGGCTGCCCCACAATGCCTGCCACAGAGAACTCTGAAAATGCTCCCAGATCAGTGAGGTTGCATTCTTCAAGAAGGGGCATGTGTGGAGTGCTCGGAGCCCCCCATGGCCCTGGGAGCATCAGGAAGCTCCTATGGGAATTTGGGGAGCAGCCCAGGTGCAGAGACCCAACTAAGCCTGACCTGAGCTAACCAGGGTCTCTTTGGCTTCAGGTTTTGGACCCTTCCGGCAGTACCTGGTGAATTCCAGCTGGGAAGCAGTGAAGGTAAACTCCCACTAGGCCCAGACCCTGCAGCTCAGGGCCCCACCGATTCCTCCTGTGGCTGAGAAACCCAGTGTGCAAGGCCCCTTGGTAGCCAGGTCCACATCAGAGGGGAGAAGACAAATACTCAGGACCCTGGCAGAAGGACTAGCCTTTGGTCCTTGGGTTGTGCCTAGCCTGCCCCCAGGTGGCCCTTCTGGCTGTGTGGTAAAGAAGAGATTGTGGGGACACTCCTGGGGAGGACGGGGAGTGCCCGAAAGCAGGCTCTGCTGCCCCAAGAGCTAGGTTCCCATGATCCCCACCCTTTTCTGACCCTGGGACCTTGGGAAAGTCATTTCCCCCAGCCTCAGTTTCCTTATGCATGAAGTGGGTGGATAATAGTGCGGATGTTACAGAGGAAGAGTAAAAGAGACAAGCATGTAAAACAAGTAAACATGGAAGTCTGTAAAAACAGCTTTTTACAGCACCTGGCACAAGGTAAGTGCTTAATAGTGGTTGCTATTATAAAGGACATGCCTTTTTTATTATTTAAATTCAAATTCATTAACATACAGTGTATTATTAGTTTCAGAGGTAGAATCCAGTAATTCATCAGTTGCATATAACACCCAGTGCTCATTCCATCAAGTGCCCTCCTTAAGGCCCATCACCCAGTTACCCCAGACCCCCACCCCCATCCCCTCCGGCAACCCTCTGTTTGTTGCCTAGAGTTAAGAGTCTCTTATGGTTTGTCTCCCTCTCTGTTTTCATCTTATTTTATTTTTCCTTCCCTTCCTCTATGTTCCTCTGTTTTGTTTCTTTTTTTTTTTTTTTCAAAGATTTTATTTATTTGAGAGAGCGAATGAGAGAGAGAGAGAGAGCATGAGAGGGAGGAGGGTCAGAGAGAGAAGCAGGCTCCCCGCTGAGCCGGGAGCCCGATGTGGGACTTGATCCTGGGACTCCAGGATCATGACCTGAGCCGAAGGCAGTCGCCTAACCGACTGAGCCACCCAGGCGCCCTCTGTTTTGTTTCTTAAATTCTACATATGAGTAATAAAGGTGCGTCCTAATATTATATGATTTCACTCATATGAGGACACACTTTTATTTTTAAGGAAGTAGCCGACCAGGAGAAAGCACGTCCTGGGACGGGATGAGGAGGGGTCAGGGTCTCATGACTAGAGGGGACCACCTCTCCTCCTTGAAGCAAATGCCTTCTACCAGTCCCACGTTGGGTGTCACTTAGTGGCTTAGAACACAGCTGGCTGTTGTTTCACACTTGACTGTCAGTTTCCTGCCTCTATTGGATCAAGTCAAAGGTAGGGTCTTGAGTCTATTCTCAGGATTCCCCAGTCTAGCTGAAAATGCCACAAAGCTGCTTGAATCACAGGTTTGCTGTCACTGTAGTATTGCTTTTCTAGACTATCTGCACAGATGCAATCAGGGAAACTCATGACTCTTGAGTTAGAATTTGGGTTGTTTTGTTGTTGCTGGGTTTGTTTTTTTTTTTCCAGCCAGAAAAAAAGCTCAGAGAACCCCAGACTCACTGCCAAGTCTCACTGCAGTACACAATATACCAGAAAGGCCAGGTCAGGGCTTTCGTGAGCTCCCAGGTGTCTGTAGCCTTTTCCTCGAAAAACAGGGCTTTTTCTGCTGAATGTTGGATGGCCCTGAGCCCTTCTATTTCTTTTTGCCATCATGAAAAAGGGAAACAAGCCAGGCTGCCTGAGTTTGCCTTCCAGCTCCAACAACTGCAACCTGTGGGACCTAAAACAAGCCCCCCCAGCTTTTCTCTACCTCCGTTTCCTTATCTGCAAAGTGGGATGGTTGTTATGACTATGGGAATTAACACATGTAAAACCCTTGGAATGGGGGCACCTGGGTGGCTCAGTGGGTTAAACATCTGCCTTTGGCACAGGTCATGATCTCAGGGTCCTAGGATCGAGCCCCACGTTGGGCTCCTTGCTCAGCAGGGAGTCTGCTTCTCCCTCTCCCTCTGCCTCTGCCCCCACTCATGCTCTGTCTCTCAAATAAATAAAATCTTTAAAAAACAAAAACAAAAACAAAAAAACCTTGGTCAGGGCACACTGCTGGTGCTCACAGATATCATCCTTATTACCAGGAAGCTATTCTATTAGCTGTGAGCCAATAGATTCTGAGTTTGGAGAGTCACACAGGAAATGGAATGATAGAGAAGATTATTTGGGAAACTCAAGGTTGACCAATAAAGCCAGAGAAGCAGGGCAGAAACAGAAGCAGGCTAGGGGCTTCCAGGCAGCAGAAATAGGATGGCAAACTAGGTGCTCTGAGGAGCCCTTCCCCTGTAGATAAACTAGATAGGACAGAACTTCGGTGCATTGCTGGGCATGCAGTGCGATGCTTTCCAGGAAAGCTTGCATACATGACAACGTGTGCATGTATACATCACACATAGGAAGGGCTGCCACCTGAAGGAGAGACACAAAAGGCAGTGGGGGGCGGGGGAACACCATTATCAGCATTCAGCTTGAGATGAAACCAAGACTTAAACTGTAAGCTAGACCCTTTGAAGGGGATCCTGTGGTTTCTAGCGCCGCAGCTCCCAGCAGAAGCCTAGGCAACTTCTCTTGAAGATTTAAAACCTCAGATTCTCCACAAACTGAGATCAGCTAAACAGTAGTTTCCATCCAGATATCACCAAATACATAAAGAAACAGACAGCTTTGAGTAAAAATCAGTAGAAGCAGATTTAGAATCTCAAGAACATGAGATGCTAAATCATTCTGCTAGACATCATCATAAAATAGCATAACTGTCTGTGAAATACTTAAAGAAGTAAAGACGGAATCACAAAAATGAGACTATCGGGGGGGGGAAAGACTATCAAAAGATCAGGTTAATTGAAAAAGGGAGTAAGAGAGCTTATAGAAATTTAAAAAAATTGTTGAGGTGAAGAATTCAACAGATGGCTTATATGGCAGTTTAGAATTACACTAACTGAAAGATACCAGTCACAAAAGATGACAATGTAGGATTCCATTTAGGTGAATGTCCAGATGAAGCAAATCTGTTGAGACATAAAGTAGGTTAGCGGTTGCTGAGGGCAAGTGCGGGAGGATTGGGGGAAATAGGGAATGACTGTTGATGGGTACAGGGTTACTTCAGGGGTGATGAAAAGATTCTAAAATTCATGGTTGCACAACTTTGCGAATATACTAAAAATCATTGCATTACACACTTCAATTTTTTAAATTATAGACTTTAATTGGGTGAATTGTGAAATATACACATAAATATACATATATATATTAGTTTACTGAGTGATGAAGAGAAAATTAGTGAACTAGAAGATAGATCTGAAGATATTATTCAAAGGGCAGATTAAAAAAAGGAGGACAAAGAAGTGAAAAAAGAAATTAAGAGGTATGGATAATAAAATGAGATATTCTAACATATGGCTAATAGGAGTTCCATGAGGAGAGACTAATAAGAATGGAAGAGAAGCAATATTTGAAAACAATGATTAAGACGATTCTAGGAGTGATGAAAGACATGAATCCACAGAGCTAAGAGGTACAAACTATACCAAGCAAAGACTAACAAAAGCCACACCTACGCACACAGTAAAACCACACAAAACCAAAGACAAAGAGATCTGAAAAGTTGCCTGAGAGAAAAGATAGGCCACCTGTAGAAACTGGCCATACAATGAGACTGAGAGTAAATTTCTCTAAAACAATAGTAAAAACCGGAGAACAGTGGAGAAATATCTTCAAAGTGCTGGCGGGGGAAAATATCAACCTGAAATTATTTTTCAAGAAATTATTTTTCAAGAACAAGAATGAAATGAAGACGTTTTCATAAAAATAAGCACCAAGAGGGGCACCTGGCATCCAGAAGCATGGAGCCCCACCCCGACTGTCACCTCATTAGCATAACAAAGACACTCCTGCCACTCAGGAAATTCCAGGGGTTTTGAAGCTCTGTGCCTGGAGCTAGGGACAAAACCCAGATATATTCTTTCTTATACCACAGTTCCCAACAGGGGTTTCCTGTCTAGGGAGAGGAGGTGGCCCTTAAGTAAAATCATTATAACTTGAAGTGGATTCGGAGAAGTGCTACATTGTGAGATACTCTGAAGAGGAAGAGATTCACTTCATTCTGGAGAATATATGGAAGAAAGGAACCTAAAGCAAAATGAGAGGCAACTACTCCCCACCCCCACCCCAGAGGTCAGTGGGATGGCCATCGGGTGGAAGCAGGATGAAGGACAGACTGATTTCTGGCAAGTGGGAATAAGTTCTCAAACCACTGTGTGCTGGGTACCACATGGGACACTCTAGGCAGAGGAGCCTGTGGCGTTCTTCCTGCAGTCCAGAGAAATCGATATTTATTCCCATTGTGCAGGTGGGGAAATGGGTGTGCAGGGAGGTTGATATCTGGCCCAAGGACACATGCCATCTAGATTCCAGTCTCAGATGGTCCTGGTGAGTGAAGTCCAGGTTCATCCCACTCTTCCCCCTGCGGGAAAACAGCATCTAGTTCAGAGGAGGAGGACTACTTCCAGCACAATAATGCTTTATAAACTTCCTAGAACTCAAGAAACATCCAGAACCACACTACCCAGTGACCCCCCGGGTGAGCAAAGTGAGGAGACACACACAAATGCCTTAGCCCTACGGCCATGTCATCATGGCAGACCCTTGGCTGTGAGCTCATTGCCGCCCGCTTCCCAGCTCTGAGACATGGACAAGGCAACCCGCTGCTCAGTCTCCTAGCTCAGGAGGTACCACAGTGGTGATGACCAAAACAGAAGCCTCCCTAATAGCTGATGAGGAAGCGAGCCCAAGCCCGGCCTCTGGCACCCACTGCCACCCCCATTGGCCTCCTCCTCCAGTCCCTGCTCTGGGTCTCTGGTTTTGCTCCGCTCTTCTTTCTGGCTTTTTTCTCCAGGGCAGAGTCACTTGTGATTAATTTAGAGGCTCTCTTCACTGTCAATCTGCAGGACCATTCTCACTTCCTGGGCCACCCTGGGTCATTCTGTG